TGAAAATCTCTCCAAAAAAAAAAAAAAAAAGACTGCACTACAGTTCTTTTTCCCTTATTTTCCTCAATTTTCTCTCAGCACAGAGTATTTTCACAAACAAGGTAAAAAGTGAGACTTAGGGAGAAAAATGTGCTTCTGAATCTATATTCATTCTGAAAAGAGAATGAACAAGTACTAAAACAATACACTTGCATCCCTTTACATACTGGGTCATCGGAAGTCACGATACATTTTGCACAGGAAAACAGACAACTGTGCCATGACTTTTCCAATGACCCAATAGGATCATCCAGCACAGCATTTCAGATTCCTCATCTTAACTTATTCTTGGTAAGCCCATTTTCATCTGTCTGACACTCGCCTGACTTCAAGAACAGATGTGAGCATTAAACACTCTTAAAATGTCTACCAACATCCACTATATTTAATTTTTTTTTTAATTTTTAAGTTTATTTTACATTCTTTCCCTGAATATCATCACAGCATACAAGATGTGATTTCCAATCCAGAATACACTGTATAGAAGGTTATAGAGGGTTAATCATACAAGTTGTCAACCACAAATAATTTTCCTTTCCTTGTTTCTTGTGTATGTGTGTATGTATGTGTGTATGTCTCCTTCCCCATTTCTCATCTTCTGCCATTTCCTACTTTCCTCCCACACTTTCTCTGGTCTCTCCAGCTGCTTTCCATCCCTTTCCATTCCATTCCTATAAAGTAGCACCTAGCTGAAGCTTATATAGCTTACTGCGGTCATTAAATAGGTACTTTTTAATAAATATTTTGTAATGTTAAGAAGACAGTTTTAGCTTTAATAAATCAAAATAAAAAAATGTTAAGAGAACTTTGTTTAAGACTTAAAGCCAGGAAACAGGATTCTGTTCAAATAGTAGGTACATGGACCTGTTAACAACTCAAGAAAAGACAAAAATCCTTAACTCTGTATAACAAAGCCTACAAGAACATCAGTAATATTTTAGTTAAAAGTCATGGTTTTTATTTTTTGGAGAGGTTTTTGCTAGAGGGTGTGTGCACTCACCAGACAGACAGAGAGAGACAGAGAGACAAAAAGCGAGAAATCACTCCCCAGGGGGGATGGTCACGCCGCAATCCCTTCTCCTCCGTTCTCCTCTCGGGATCTTGGGCACGCACGCACACATGCCCAGCGTGAGTTTTAAGCCACCGAGTCCAGGACGTGAACCGCGGTCGACTACGTGGGAGTCCAGCGACATAGCCATTACACTAACTGCTGGTCCAAAAGTCATAAAATTCTATTTCACCAGTTCATACTCATTGTATCTCATCTATCTTCTGTTGTGGTCCGATCTTACCAATTAAATTCTGGACGATAACGTTCAACTCTGGACTTGTCCCTACCATTAAGCTGCCATTTTTTTAGTTGGTTTTGAACTTTTATTTCTGTGTGTCTGACTTTATAGTTTTCCTGAGATAGCATTCCCTTCAGAAGTTCTTGGAGAATTGGTCTGGTATTGGTAAATTCTTTCAGGTTTTGTTTACCTGAAAATGTTGTGTTATCTTCCCATATGAAGGGTAATCTTGTCAGATATAGTCTTCTTGGTTGAAATTGTTTTTTACTCAACACTTTGAGTATATTTTCACATTTTTTCCTTGCTCACATTGTTTCTGATGAGAGGTCTACTTGGTAGAAACCTGACATTTCTCTCTTACCAATCTTAGTACCTTGTCTTTGTGGGTTTTTTTTTTTGTTTGTTTGTTTTTTAATTAGGTTTTTGCTATAGGGCGCGTGCACTCACCAGAAAGAGAGAGACAGACAGAAAGACAAAAGGAGAAAAATGGGGGGATGGCCACACTGCAATCCCTTCTCCTCCATTCTTTTCTCAGGATCTTGGGCACACATGCACATTGGCCCAGTGTGAGTTTAAGCCACCGGGTCTAGGAATCAAACCGCGGTAGACTACATGGGAGTCCAGCGATATAGCCATTATGCCAACTGCTGGTCCTGTCTGTGGTTTTGGTCAATCTGGCTATAATGTGTTTTGGAGAAGATCTTCTTGGACTGATTCTATTTGGAGTCCTTTGTATTTCTTGGGTCTGGATCTTTGAATGCTTCTCTAGGCTTGAAAAGTTTTCTTGCAGGATTTCACGAACTAGATTATCAATGCCCTTATTAGTCTCTTCACCTATTGGGATACCCATTATTGGAATGTTTCGACGTTTAATGGTATCTAGTATTTCTCGTATGTTATTCTCAGTTTTGGGGGCTATTTTTTCAGTCTTTGTGGTGGATTTTTCTAGTCCAGTCATTCTGCTTTTCTACATCTGAGACTCGATTTTCTGTATGATCTAGTCTACTTTCAATACTTTCAAGAGAAGTTTTGACTTTCTGTATTATAGCCTTCATCGCTAACAACTTTGATTCTTTTTTACAGTGTGTTAATTCCTGTTTCAGATCTCACAAGAACTTCCTCACCTCCTAGAACTCGTCAGCTCTTTTCTCCTGCTTCTTCTGGAGTCTAATGTCTCTCTTCTCTTCCATCTCTGTTAGTTTTGTCACTATGAATATTCTAAATTCTTTATCTGACATATCCGTGAGTTCCATTGTACTGTCTGTGGATAGAGAGTTATTTTTTTCCCTTAGGGGAGAGGTATTGTCTTGGTTTCAAGGTTTCTTGTGTCTCTGTTTGTGATTTCTTGTCATCTGATGGGTTATTCATTTCTTCCTAACTTCTAGAAGTTCCATTGGACCGTTCAGACAAATGCTGGAGGAGGTGATCTGCAAACTCTGGACATTCTGTTTTTCTCCAGGAGGCTCTAGCAGGGTGAATTCTTAGCAGAAAATCTTCACTTCTCTTATTTCCTGGAAGTACTAGTTCTCAGTTCCCATGGAGGACTCAGTCATCTTCTCCACTGTATTTGGTTTTAATTTTTTTAGGACCCATTTCCCCAAGCTGCTCTTGTTCTCTGGGCAAAACTACAGATCTTCAAAATTCTGTGTGGGACTCAAAATCAAAATATTCTTTTCTAATTTTAGAGAAGCTCCAACTCTTATTTTCTCTGTCTCCTCACCACACAAGTGCACCATGAGCTTAAGAAACAGAATATGGGGAACCAGCCGTTAGCACAATGGCTATGTTGCTGGACTCCCACGTAGTTGACCGTGGTTCGCGTCCCGGACCCAGTGGCTTCAAACTCACACCGGGTGCGTGCCCAAGATCCTGAGAGGAGAATGGAGGAGAAGGGATTGCGGCGTGACCATCCCCTCTGGGGGATGATTTCTCGCTTTCTGTCTGTCTCTCTCTGTCTGTCTGGCGAGTGCACACGCCCTATAGCAAAAACCTCTCAAAAAAAAAAAAAAAAGAAAAGAAAAAGAAAAAGAAACAGAATATGCAAGTACAAAGGTAAATTTTTAGCCATGTTTCTGCTCATTTGCAAGTTTCACACATTTTCCAGGGAGAATTCTCCCCATGTAAAACCACTATATTGTAACCTACATTTTCCTGATTTCTTGCACCCTTCTTTCTGCCTGCAAAAGTTCATTCACTTAACAGCATGATTTTTTATTCTGAGTACTTTATTGTACATTTATTCATGACTTAATGAGATTGTAGTTCTTTACATTTCTGTCTCTATCAGTCGCTGTCTTAAAACCGAAGCACTTAGAGAAGTAGTACTCAACCTATAAATCTTTTTGTAAAATCCCAAGTAAACAGCTTCCCTACTTCTTCCAAATTGACTATAAAAATGTTTTCTATTTTAATTTTATTTTACTTTATAATTTTTTCTTTTCATTTAATTGTACATCTTTGTGGAGTGCAAATGTTTTTTTTCTGGAGAGGTTTTTGCTATAGGGTGCATGCGCTCACCAGACAGACAGAGACAGACAGACAGAGAGAAATCACCCCCTAGGGGGGGATGGCCATGCCGCAATCCCTTCTCCTCCGTTCTCCTCTCGGGATCTTGGGCACACACGCACACGCGCCCGGTGTGAGTTTTAAGCCACCGGGTCCGGGACGCAAACTGTGGTCAACTATGGGGGGGGGCGGTCCAGCAACATAGCCATTACGCTAACTGCTGGTCCCAAGTGGAATATGGTTTTCAAAATATGAATACGGTACATAAAAATCAAGTCAAGGATATTACCATATTTGTTATTTTCAACAAAGAACACTGTATTATGTTGTACACCTTTGATTTTTATTCTGCTAGGGTTTTTTAAAAATTTTTTGGCGTTACATATATAAAATTGGCAGTGCCCTTTTTTTTTCACTCTGTTGTGCTATACTGTTCCACAATCTATTTGCCTTATTCTTTTTTTTTTTTTCTTTTTTGGAGAGGTTTTTGCTATAGGGCGCATGTGCTCGTGAGACAGAGAGAGATAGAGAGACAGAAAGCGAGAAATCACTCCCCAGGGGGGATGGCCACTCCGCAATCCCTTCTCCTCCATTCTCCTCTCGGGATCTTGGGCACGCACGCACACGCGTCTGGCATGAGTTTTAAGCCACCGGGTCCGGGACGCGAACCGCAGTCGACTATGTGGGAGTCCAGCAACATAGCCATTACGCTAACTGCTGGTCCCCTCTATTTGCCTTCTTTATATGCATTCTTGGTCTGGTGTTTTTTCCTAATCACTTGCAGGGCAGGAGGAAAAAAAAAACAAGGATACCACTATTTTATTTTATTTTTTTTCCTCCCCCTTGAAACACAGTAAGTTATTTTTTTGCCACATCAAAATCAAGGTATACCAGTAGAAGAAGAAAAAAATCATTTTCCAATAAACACATTTCTCCATCAGACAAAATCTAAAATGCTTAGCCCACCTGCCTTCTTCCTCTCTTCCGCCCTACACTCTAATCTTGAGCAATTCCCTTTGCCAGACTTTCCTGGAGGTCTAAAAAGAAAATGCCACTGAACACTTGGTTGCTTGCACTTGGTTTTCAGGATGCTCATACACTGCTTTACTGACCAAGCCTAGTTTCCTAAGGCCACAGGAGATCTGAAACCATGAACTAGAAAGGCAACAAG